AAACACAAAGCTCAGAGTCGTGTAATATTGCCACTGATTTGCATGAACACTAAGAAACAAACAGAAATGAGGCGGAAGGTGCCGAGTGGATCAGGAACATAATGAGCTGCATCCCTACGGCATTCCTGAACACACTGATGTTGGATTTTCCCTAATCCGCCCTTAAAGTGCCAATTTTGCTCTTCATCTAAGGTATGGAACGCTGTGTTCTTTATATTAATGCTGCGGGATACATCCAAGACGCCTTTCACTTTGGTCGGACTGCAGGAAACAGATTCAGAAGAGTGAGCATCAAGGATGAACCGTTTATCCAGGCAGTTTCTATAAAGCGATGTGTGAAGGGCAAGATGTCAGAAAACCCTCAGGCTCTAAAGGGTGAAGAGAAACTAAAGAGAACTCGGAATAAGAGATGGTGAACTGAAGTCCAAACAAAACTAAGAGCCTGCAGCTGTCAAGCCTGATTGATAAGTACAAGCAGGCGAGCTCAGAGCCAAGTGCAAACATCAGCATGCCAACATGCTCACTAAGTGGCGACGCCAGCATGTTGATGTAATGCAGCATGAAATGCTTACCAAGTTCCTCATCATTACTCAGAGCCATATAAAGCAGAGTGTGCATCTGAAGAGAGCTCAAACAGGAGAGAAGTAAATACTTCCTCTGGGAAACAAGAACTGATAAACTACAGCATGCCACGGCGGGAGGCGAGCGCCATCAGAAACAGGAGGGCCCTACGCCATGGGCGAAGCTTCATCTGATGACCTCACAAGGTCATACACCTGCTAAAGCTCAAACATCTGAATTAAACCTGAAATGGTTTCAAGACAGAAATGACTTAATGATCAGCTGTGCTGACGTGACAAAGTAGTAATTTAAAAAGTGGTGAACATTCTGCAGTTTTCCTCTTTTTGGGGATTATGTACGCTTCTTTAGAAACCCATAACAGTGACAATCGTACCTTGTTCTGTAATATAAAGGAGAAATGTTTATTTTATTTTGCCAAGCTCGCCCCGTAGAGCCCCATGCAATTTGAATTTAGGACTGCTCAGCATTAGCCAATAGCGTTGCATATTCGCTTACGTACTGATGTTCATCTCAGTGTTTGCAGATGTAAAGATGCAGAGTTGACAATTCTTATTGACGTGTGTGTGTGTGTGAAAAACTGCATAAAGTGAGAATAAAAATAGAACAATGCATGTTAGCTCTGTTAGCTGGCTAGAGGTGCGCGTTCGGACGAGAGGCGTTGATTCTAGCCGTACTCATGAAAGTGGGCAGATGGGATTAAGGCGTGGTACGTTGCTCCACCTCTAGAGGGTGCCCTCTAACAAATAAATGCAGATTCTGCTTTAAAGGAGACTAGGCAAGTTTTTGCTTGCTTTTAGCACCCCCTAGTGTCAGTTTGTAGAACCAAAAGCAAAAACACTTATCTCCTTGCTGTGTGTTTGTCTGTTTAACACTTTGGCCCAATCCCAATACTCGTACTGCGCCCTGCGGACTTTAGCATAGTGCACTTGGAGAAAGTGCGCAGTAGGGTTTGAGTGCGTAGTACACAAGTGTGCAAATAATTGCAGAATTGAGATGGGGAGCATTGTGTCATCAATCGCTACACGTGCCGTGATGCTGGTCGCTGTGAAACTTTTGTCAAAAACCTTTATTAACAACTTTCAAACAACAAAGCAATTATTTGAAAAAAAATTGCATTTATTGCAGCTTTGTGTAAAAGTTTTAGAGCATCAACTAATCGACCTAAAATTAACTAATTTCATTAGAAAATACATATTTTCAGAAAAGGAACTTGAGCCTTTTCTCATGCAGCAATGACTTGTGGGTAATACCTATGCCCGAGGTCTGCATCGCTGCAGACTTGGGTGAAGTGCAGATTAAGGGTGCAGTGGGGGCGTGGTGAACTTCCACACTTGAGAATCGGGACACCCTTTGCACTCGCACCCCTGGCCGGGAATGCGCAAATGAAGGGTGCAAGTGCAAGTATTGGGATTGGGCCAGAAATGTAACAGCTGAAACGTCTCCCCAGCCTTCCTTAATGTCTACGGGAGTGATTCATCACTAAATTTAACTAATCAGCTGTGTTCCAACAGAGCGGCCGCCGATCTGAAGTTGCAAGTGGAATATTCTGGCCACAGTGGGCGATGGGGCTAGATGGCCTTTCATTAAAGGGACATTTTAGCACATACTGTCTGAAGAAATTGATTATTTGATTCCAATGTTTTCCATTGTAGCGTGATGAATTGCCCATCTCTGACCTAAAAGGCCCTGCTCTGTTTTGTTCTGCTCAAAGCAAAACCAGAAGTTTCTGACACAAACCTAATCTGCATGAGATATTGCTCAAGGTCACATGCTCTGCTCCTAAACTGTTTCTTCCTTTCCAGCTCAAGAGAAGAATGAAGACAAAGAACACTTTCTTTTTAATAAATCAAAGAACTCTTATTTTTAATAAAGCTAATCAAACAAAGTGTTAGTCCAATAACAAAATGTGAACCAATCTGAAGTGACAATGTTTATGATCAGTAGTTATAATAAGTAATATAACTTTAAATATTTCCACTAGAGACTGATCCACGTAATGCTAAGAATCACATGACACATTTTGTTTTTCTGATCCAATCAGAGCCTTCCAGATCTGACACGAGTCGTGGTTTTGTTGGTGCTTGGTAAATCTGTCCTTTTTTGATTCAACCATAAATCAAAACATCCAAATTATAAAACTATGCCCACGTCATCTTAACTTCAGTTCAAAGCGTTCTAGAGAAGTTGGAGTGGCCAATCCGTAATTTTCCTCTTAAAGCCGAAAGAATCTAACGACAAGCTGGATTAAATCTGTTGCATGTTCCACCTGCTGCAACGGTTCCTTTCAGAATAAAAGCTGAACCATCACAACCCCCTTTTTGGGTCTGCTAGATGCCAATAAAACTCGTGACACGGAAGTATCTCAAGCCTGGTCTGGTCGGCAACCGCTGCTTTTTCTACCGGCTTCGGTTCCAGAGAAGGTCAAGCTGGACCTCGACATTCCTGATCTAACGGGGACTTCCACTAAGGGTACGTAGGCCGACAGAATGGCGTCTCAATGTGTGTTATAAATCTCCAAACCAAAGTTTAGCGTGAAACGTCATCTTCACTCCCATCAGAACTAATCGCTTCTCCGGATCTGCAGGTTCTGAACATATTCACACATACACCATTCTCAGTCTTACGTCACCTTAGTTACACCACACACCTAGTGTTAAAGTTAGTCTTGTTTAATTTGTTTAGAAATAAATCTTTAAACTTTTCTCAATCTTTTCTTGAAGTTAATATGAAGTGTTGCTCAATCCCTGCAATAAAGATCTGATCTTCTGATTAAATTTACTCAAAGATCCATGAAGGTGAAATTTCATACTTCGTGATATTTCACATTTTATGGTTTCTAATTAAATGTAGTAACATCTTCACACCATATCATCTGGCTTAGACTCACTTCTAATGGACCTAAACTGGGATAATTTGGTGGTTTTCTGCATTATCTGCTGATCATTTGTGTCAGTGCTTTTAGATAGTTGTAGTTCATTTATAAAAGTAGATCAAATTAAAAAAAACTACTAAAAATCATCCAATTTCTTCCCGATAAGCTCTCAGATGTCAGATTAGGTGACAGAAAATAAATACCGGTACTGTTGAATGTATTTCCAGTTAAACATCAAGACTAATCTTTTACCTACTCTATCTTACTTGTTTATTGATACGTCCTCCGACAGCTGACTGTGTTGCTTTTAGTCGTTTTGTTTATTCAGTGACATTCCATGACGACATGGACGTAATTTTCACTATAGAAGTGAGGGGGACACGGGGGGGGGGGGGGGGGGGGGGTATCTTTACAGTATGTTCTAATGGGAAACAGGCTTCAACACAAACGGTTGTTTTCCGCTTGGTCCTAGAGCTCAACCAGTGTCAGTTCAATATAGCGTAATATTGTTTTTGGAAGGTAAAAATTGCAGGGGTCAAAACTTGACTTTGGAAAAAGTGGTCGGTGGGGGGGGGGGGGGGGGACATGTCCCCCCTGTCCCCCCCCCAAAATTACGTCCATGCATGACGAGGACGCCATACTGCATCCATCTGTCAATGATGAAAATAAACGGTTGCATCTAAGAGGAAACAGTGAGGCGAAGAGCAAACTGATGTTTTCAAATATAGTTTTTTTTTCTCCAACATTTTCAAGTTCACAGAAAATACATCAGTCCCAAAAGCTAGAAGGTGACTGATCTACTAACTAAAACCAAGCCTGAGATAACCACCGTATTGGAGAATAAAGGAGCGCACGTTAAAATCTGACATCAGAAGCACCACTGCAGCGTCTCATTAACACCACATAATGAGAATCTAATGAGCATTTAAAGCTTTGGACCAAACTCGCCTCATCCTTACACACAACCTTTTGTTCCCGGTGGCGCTGTGACAAAAACGCACCGGACTCCATATGTTATCATCAAGGCTTCAATCACCCAGGACCAGGTGGGCAGCTTGTGAGCTCTGTTGGCGTTTGTTGTGATGTCAGGAGAACGTGGCGGCGGCGGAAGAACCGACGCAGGCCAGCAGCATCTGAAAATGGTTTTCTATAGCAGACATCAGCACATCGGCCGCTGGTACAACGTGGGCTTAAAGGTAATTCATGAATGCAGCTAATGAGTCTGGCATCACAGTCAGGCAGGGTGACCAGCTCCCTGAAGGCCCGCTGATTGGTTTTGTTTGAACTTCACACCTCATTCATTACAAAGATATTCACCAGCTGAGATAAAGAAAGCCATCCTCCCTCTTACAGGTGATTAATGAGCAGCCATCTTGACCCAGGGTCAGAGGGCTTCACAGAGTTCAACAATGACTAAAATCTAATTACCTCATGGAGCGCCCAACAAATCCTAAACTACTGATCTAACGGTTTAAACATCAGGTTCCAGGAGAATAAAGGGCCAGCCTCAGCCTGCAACAGTCAGTGAATAACAACCGCCTTTAAATATTTTCAAAATTCTGTTTATTAAATTTAAAAAACACCATTTTGTTAACAGTTTCATACCAACAGCAGGAAAACAAACTGAATCTGTAAGGGACGCAGAAGGGGGCCCGGTCCAACCCCTGAGTTAAAACCATCAGTTCCAGGGCTCGATCGTCACCGCGCGCCTCTTCTGTGGGATCACCTGGCATAGACTAGAAGAGCAGTCACGTGGTAACATCGTTGGGTAGAACACCAGAGGAAATGTGGCGTAAGAAAACTGGACATCAGGTAGAAAAGTTGATTTGCAAAGTCAAGTTTCAAGTAAAAGGTATTTCCTGCCAAAATATACGGTAACATGTAATTAGGTTGCCAAAACATGTCGCTATGTAAGTTAATCACTCAGGAGGGGGGGTCTGCACAGCTGTAGGGGACGAGGACTCGGGGATGCGGTACGGACGTAGTCCAGAGAAGTGCAAACAATGTCTATCAGATGTGTTTACTGAGGAGCTTAGAGATGGGATTAAGGGGGTTTGAGCAAAGTAGGGCCACCCCCCCAGTACTCATCAAGGTGCTGACAGCGGGGACTCTCTGGAGGGCGAGCCCAAGATATCCTCAGGGGGGAAAACTGTGAGTGTGCAGGCTCGGATCCCGCCTAGCGACTCGGGCAAGTCAAAAACCTTCTGCCATTCATCCTTCTCCGGGTCGTATTTCTGTACGATTTCCACCATGCAGCGATTGTTCCACGAGTAGCCGCCCACCACGTAGATCTTATTCTCAAACACGGCCACGCCCACGTCGCTCTGACCTCGCAACATGGCCGCGATAGGAGTCCACAAGTCGAGGGCGGGGGAGTAGTATTCGCAGCTGAGCACGTCGTCGTAGTCGCTCGTGCCTCGGAAGTGATTCCCCCCGATCACGTAGAGACGATCGCCCACCGTGCACATGCAGTGAAGGCCACGCACGGTCGTCATGGGTGCTTTCTGAGTCCATTTATCCGCATCTGGGTCAAAGCACATCAGCTCCTTCTGGAACGTGTCATGAGTGATTCCCCCTGCAGCAGGAAGAAAAGAGGAGGAGGAAATTATCCCGAGTTTGGGGTGGGGTGGGAGTGTCATTCATCCATGCCTACATGCTTCATCTTTCTAGGGACACCACTCACAATGGTCTCGTTTACTTTCACAGCTCTGAGCTTAAATGACAAAAGCTCATTGGTGAGCCTCTAAAACACTAATTATATAAACAACATCAGTGGCTGCTCTGACAGCGAGACATGCTGCTGATATGAAGAGGAAACGCATCACAAAGCCTCTGAACATATGCACAAACAGACTGTAGACACCGGCACACAAAAAGCTGGGGAGAAAAAAAAATACAGGACATGTCTACAGGGAAGGCTTAAAATAAAGAGGAACACAATCCCAGCATGCATTTGGGTGGAAGCCAGCCCGCCCCTCCCCCCAGTGAAGATTTGCAGAGCACGCCATGTGCAGGCACAATCCCTCTTTAGGTGACGCCGGGCGACTGTGTGCTCGCTCCATTGTTGGGGCCTAAGCTGTGTATTCAGCTGCCGTGACTCAGAACTGTGATGCTGCACCTTCTTAACCATCAGACACAAAAATAACCAAAACGACACGTTTTATTTAATCCACGCGGCATGAAGCAAGTCAGCCACTTAAATCCTGACGGGAGAACAAAGCTGGAGCCACGTTTCCGCTTTGATTCAATTCAAGTGGTTTGTCCATTCTCTGATATGACACGGCCGTGTTTGATCGGCATCCCAGCATCACAGCCGCTGATCAGAGCCATCAGTGGAACACCAAGAGAGAGAAAAGGCTATTAGCCAGGCTGATTTAATCTCACAGATGAGCTGAAAGCCTCTGCCCTTCATTAGACGAGGCTGGACAGACCGTGCTATTATTTTTTGTGTTTTATGCCATGTGTGACCATATGCTTTGCTTCAAAACATCTCCCTCGGCAGCCATGAGGATGCAGGATAACTGCAGAGTGCTTTGTACAACCAGTGACCTGGATGAATCACGCAGATGGAGAACGAGCAGCAAGGGGGACGAAAACCAGGAGATCAGCAGTGTCAGCAAATAACCTGTAATGACTGGGGTTTGAGCTGCATAAATATTACCAACTAATGATCAGCCTCTGCTGTAAAGACCCTAGAGGGCATACGGCCATGATCCAGTAGGCATCGATCAGATTCCCTATAGGAACATCCAGGATGACAGAATCAACTCTTTTACAGCAAGGTTGACACATGAAAGTGCTCAGATCCATCTTCATGTGATGTAAAAACCTCATTAATTAGGAAAGCCTCTGAAGCCTCTCCACTGGAAACGGGAGGCAGAACATGATGGAGCCGGGTCCATTTGATGTTCGTGCTCCCACGTCCACGTGTGCTAAAATACCTCCAAATTACCGGGAACACTGTTTAGCCACTGAGCCAACCTGCGTTCCTCCAACTCCTAACAGCAGCTCTGTTAATTTCACAGCTCTGTGACACGTCAGACTTAAAACTCACCCTCTCATCGAGTCATCCACCATCAACACCCTGTCCTGAGCTTGTTAGGCAGCAGAACCTACATTCCCAGTCTCGCTGTGAAAATCTGAGGTGCTATAGTTGGGCCCAGTTGGCTTGTTCCAGCCAATTAGGAAAAGCAAAGAAAGATCTTTTCACCCTCTGAAGAGGAGTTATTTAGAGTACAAATGAGCAGTCAGCATCTTCTCTGCAGTAGACAGAAGGTAGTGACCTCACGCGGAGGAGGATCAGTGATCAGAACTCATCTGAGCAGATTTCAGCTCAAAATCAGTCGATGTTTTTTGCTCATCACTTGTGCAAAAAGATAAGTTGACTTTATCAGCCTTTTCTCAACTGAACGGTGCTTGTGTAGGTATTACACATATGCATGAGACTAAAGATGCTCACTGTTAAATATCAAAACTGCATTAAACTCTTAGTTTAACACTGAATTTCTGTAATTAGGAACCAACTGCTACAGTCATGCGACTTTCATGCAAATATTCTTGTTGCAATCTAGTCTTAAAGTGTCTTAACCATAAATCGGTGTGTTCGCCATTCCACCTCCTTGCACCTCTGACCTGCAGAATCTACATTAAGAACTGAAAGCGGTGCAATGACTGTTCCCAGGGCCGGCGACATCTCTGACTATTCTGAGAGGAAATTTGTCTTGCAGATTTTTTTCTGCATGTTCAAAATTCTTGCAACACGAGAGCAAAGCCGTGTGAGGAAATGGAGAACCCTTGGGAACGCCGTCACAAACCGCCACAGCCCAGTGAGAAGCTGGTTTACGGAACACGCCACCCTGTGACAACTTGAGATTATGAAACGTTGATCATAATCCGAGACACCACGTAGGGTTCATTAGGTGGTGCACTCTCATTTTTCCTCAGTAACATTAAAAATGTGACAGAAATCAGTTCAGCTATAAAAACAAGGTTTTTGATCTGATCAGATCATGAAGAGGAAGGAGGAATCATCTGTGGGGGAACTCTTGGGTGGGAGTGTTAGCGGACCAGTCACACTGAACAAGCACATACTCCTGATTTAAACTCATGGCCAAAGATTTTATCACAATTCAGTCGTGACTAAAGAAAAATGGCTCCGTGGGACCCCGGCGTACGAGCAGTTAGAAGAACGTCACTTTCTGCTTCGTTTCTGCATTTCACACAACGGTTAGACCCAACCCTGCAATACTCCAGACAATTCACTGCAAAAGATTTTTTAGGTGAAATAATTCTCGTGGTAATGTCTCAGATCATCGTCGGTGTTGACTGAAACAGTTATGTGGAGTAGAGACTAAAACTAGTAAAAACAGAGTCGATGTCAAGTTAGAGATCATTTTAGAGTACAAATGAAAAAACCTTTCCCTGGAGCGCTCCGACTGTCATCGCTCTTAAATGTAAAAACAAGGAAGGTAAACGCTGAAGCAACCAACATGATGGCGTCTCAGAGCGGGCCAGGCAGGGCGCTGCCTGGAAGCCAATTAAAAATGAAAATGGCTGCTGACTGACAGCTCCAGCGAACCCGACGAAGCTCAAGGGCATTTTCAGACAATAATGGCACAAATCCTCACACCCAGGTGTGCAAAACTTGTCATTTCATGCCCATGAAGGCCCAAAGCTGTAAATGATGCCAAAAACAATCCAGCAAGCTGCGTAAAAGTCTGAGTGTTTGTGTCAGCGAGAAATTCTGCAAACTTGCATCAAGTTCTTAGAAAAAGATGAAAATATTCCTATTTAAAGTTGAGTAGATGAGTTGTGAAAAGCTCAAAGATCATCTAAAATGAGCTGAGACGTCTTCAAAAGCATTAAAAAATGACTCAAATAGTCAGCATGTTGTCATAAAACTAAATATAAACACACTGATGCACAAACACACCAGAGGCGTGTGTTTAATATTGAGATGCAGCAATTTAGCGTTTAGTGGTGTTGTCTAAACTCTGCCGGGCTGACGCTCTCTGGGCTGAGTGCTCCTGTCAGGTTCATCCAGCTGACAGAATCCCTTCAGACAGCACAGCAGCGCAGCCGGGGGAAGTGACCTGATGTGCTGTGACAGACGGACACAGAACCACTCCAACACGGGTCACCTTGCTCTGCAAGACTCTGACCCCTCAGACTGTGAGGCCTCTTAGCAACAAACCCTAACGCTCAAATCCGCTCCGTTTTTATTAAAGCTAAAGTTTCACAAGAGCTGCAGGATCCCTTTAACAGCTGAGATCATAAAACTGCTTCATGCTGCAACACAACAGTCCTTTTTAAACACACATATTTTTAGAGGGTGCAGGTGCAACGCCAGCTGTTCAAAAAGCAACGTCTACCAGACTACTGACCTGAATAACTGAAACACTAAGTTTAGCAAAAAGGAACCAAAATATCAGACGATGAGCAATCAACACCAGGTATAGAAAGCCGAGTGCAGCAAAAATATCACAGGAAGTTAAAGCCGACTTTGTCACTATGATGTTAATTTTAAACTTGACTTAAGAGAAACGCTTTCAGCTAAACTTGTCGGGTTGTTGGGCTAATGTTCTAATTAAAACACGATTAATAAATATCGGTGCTCGTGTCCAGGGGGTAGCTGGTGTCCGCCAGTCAGTTAGCTCAGGTCATTTATAAACATCTTCCTGTGTAAAACTTCAAATTCCTTACCATTTGTAGGCATAATCCTGAACAGCCTCTGTTCAGAGAAATGGCTTTTACGCCCTACAGGTCTGATGAGCTAACGGCTAGCTCAGATGTAACCAGAGCTGGGTATCTTGTGAACTTCAGAGATTTATACTAAGGTTATTTTATAAACATTTATGGTCATTTTCCCTCTACAGTTATTTACATGAAAGTCTACGATTGTTTACGATTGTTTACCAGCAGAAGCAAAATGGATCAGCAGGAGTATGAAATATTCCTGCCAAAACGACCATTAATGTGAGACTGATGGAAATGTAACGGTTTGTGAAATAGTGCCGGCATTTATGCTAACATTTAGGAGAACAGAGTCCTTTTTAAGACAGCTGGGTCAGACTAGCTGTTAGCTCATCAGTCCAGAATGATTAACATCCATTCCTTCAAATGGAGGCTTTACAGGAAGTAGTTTATGAGAGATAAAACTAAATTAAATTCTGACCTCAGAACATTACAAACCAGTTTGGTTCTTCTGGGTCAAAGTCCATATTGGTTATGTCCTGTAAGGCTAATAACAAGAAAAAAAAAGACTACCACTTATAGTACACATTAATGTGTACTCTTTAACTTTACTAAAGTGGACCATTGCATTAAACTGACCTACTTATTTCTAAAATCCAACATGATTGAGTGATTTTAATTCGATTTATGCCTTTATGACCATTTCGAACCCTCAGTATGGGTGAGAGATGAACTACCCCTTCTGGCAGCCATCTTTAGTTTTAATGCTGCTCTATGCTACCGTTTATTGCTCACAGGTTGCACAAGGATGACTATTCTCATGGCTAGGAGGGATTAACCGTGTCTGTAGTGTGTTACACCTCCTACACAGGATTCTCCCCACAGCCTTCCCCTCTTTTGTAACGTCGCTCTGGATTAGTCACACTGAGAAACTAGGGCTCGTCTCCATGCAGCAGGATTTGTTTTCAGTTGCAGGAAGGAGTGCTAATGTTAACGCCTAAACAGCAAGCACTGCCCAAAAGGTCCAATCTGAGTGTCTAAAGTGTGGCCATGGCACTGGAACCCCCCCCAATAAACTTTAAAAGCACCCCCAGGGTAGACAAATCAAGCGTGTGAGGACTTGTGCCAAAGTCTGGGTGTGACTTGTGATTTTTATGATTTCATAATTTAACAGATAAAAATACCCGTTGGGTTAGAAACCCAGGCTCACACACTACATGCAACACTGAGATAGCATGGCATCTCTTTAATATCACATGATCACATAATAACTCCCTGAAGGTACTTACCTGAAATATACATGTAACCACCGTACACGGTTCCAGCATGGCCGTAATGTGGCTCATTCATTTTGGCAACATACGTCCATTCATTAGTCCTTGGGTTGTAGCACTCCACAGTAGCTTTAAATACATAAAAAACACTATTAGTAGAAAGTAGGTCATGACACAACCAAGGAGGACAAACAGCAGCAAATGAGGCCTGGGAGGGTCTCGGTGTGGGATCTGAAACACAGATTTGAATACTGTACACATGCACACAAACCCCAGCAGCAATTTATGCACTGACTGCACAGGAAATTGAGAGACTGCAAAGCCTTTATCCTAATGCGCCTACGGGTGGCTTTGCAAAAAATCTGAGCGAGCCAAGAACAGGGACAGTGGAATTCATGAGTGATCACAGGCGAGCAACTGGCTCCTCGTTATGACTCCATAACAAGCAGGCAGCTTTGTTTGCCAACCGCATGCTCAGGAAAAGGCCATCGCTGGCATCTAATACAAGTCAGACAAGCAGCCGCAGTGATGCGCGATCGGACATCAATAGTTCTTGATCTTGGAGAGATAGGATTAAATGCGTAGTGAAGTCTACATATTAGCTGGAGATGGTTGGAGCATGGAACATTTTCCTTTTGTTGTTTGCAACCTTTAATTAAAGGATTAAAAGAGCTTCATTTTTACCTGCCAAAGCAGGATATAAAGCCACAAACCTTTATACCAAGCAGGCGGTGATTAAAGTAAATGGATTATTTAAGTGCCAGGACACGGACAGATAGGTGAAGCAGCCAGAACACTTCCGACACGGTAACATTACAGGAATGAACGAATGAATAACTAGCTCATCAGTAAACCGTCTTCATGTAAAAGATCATAAATGCTAAATTATTTTAGAGGCAAAGGCTTTTAGCTCTGGGTTTGGATACTTAACACAAGCCACTGAAGACTGAGAAGGGATTTATTTTAGATCTGCTTAAACCAAACCCCAGGACCCTTTCTTCTGATTATTTAAAAAGTCTCGTTTTAAAACCAGCATGAGTCGGCTTTACAACGTTTGACTGAAAAAAAAAAAAATCTGACAGACAAACCTAAAGTGTATTAGACAAAGGTAAAAAATGACACGAGTTAAAAAAAAAACCCACTAAAATGTGAACTAAAATAATACGCTGTCGCTAAAAGAAAAATCCCTTTTGTGAATCCAGACTGACATTACTGAGCTTCCCTGTTTAACCCCCCCACTGTCCTAATGGGTGTAACCCCACGAGGAAAGTTGGCCATTGAGCAGGACTGATGGTTTATTCCTTGGGTCCACGTGGCAGGGGTGAGGAGTGAGCACCACCTCACCCCTGCCACATGGACCTCAAGGGATAAACCATCAATCCTGCTCAATGGTCAACTTTCCTCACGGGGTCACGCGTAAAGACAGTGGGAGGGTTAAATGTGGGCTTTTCAAATGAAAAAATAAAAATAAAAAAATCACACCCACACCTACGTTTGACCCATTCATGGTAAACAAACGTGACGGAAGGGAAGGGCACATCCAGAAATACATGAGGCCTGGATCACATGCAGTGTGAAGCCAGTGGAACGTAAAGCTGAAAAAGGCAGTTGTGTAGACGAGTGCAGCGAACTGAAGCTGCGTTCTTTGTTCTAATTATAACCTAAAATAAGACGACAGCTCCTCTCCCCGTCTGCTGAAGTTATACGGCTGGATTTAAGTACTGGGTGGCACCTCTCTGTGGCTTACAGTTATGGATGCGGGAGTTCCAGGCTGGTTCTTTCACATCAACCACCAGAACACAAGAAGACGTATAAATAAATAAACACGAGTTTCTCCCAGATGGGTGAGCTGTGAGTACAAGGGCGAGGAAAACGATCTTCTAGTTTAGACGGGTCTTACACCACTAAGAACATGTCCAGCTCTCACTTCTCACAACAGTTCCTGCCCCACATTTAGGTGGGTTTCTGCACCAACAGCTCACTGCCACAGTCGCATTAACAACACAAAACTAAACTCCTGTGAGACAAAGGCAACCAAAATATCTACTCGTGTTCTGAAATGCAACAGAAATGACAAGAAACATCAGAATTTGTTTGTGATGATGTAAAGGTCTTCTGAAGGGGATTCAGATACAGATGGTGTAAGATTAATGTTAGTTTCTCTGGTATTTTCAAAACAAAACAAAAAAACTTAAAAAGGGACAGAGGTAAAATGAGGGCAGAAACTCACCGAGCTCCCCAGCAGCGTTCCTCCCTCCAACAGCATACAAGTGTCCTTTTAGAGCACTGAGGTGGAAGAAGGTGCGTTTCTCATTAAGGCATGCCACCTGGATCCACTTGTTGTAGCGAGGGTCGTACCGGAACACCGTGTCCACGGCTGTTTTGCCTTTGGTGTCATAGTTGCTTTGACCACCCACAACGTAGAGAAAGTTACCGATGACTGCGATGCCATGCTGGTAGCGAGGTGCATCCATGGGTGCCAGCGCCTTCCACTCGTGAGCCTTCTCATCAAAGAGGCGCAGCTCCTTACTAACAACCAGCTGCTGGCGCAGAACTCCACCCAGAGTGACCAGGTGGGCACTGTCTGAGCGAATAGCTGTCCGTTCCGACTGCATGACAGGCTGCATATAGGGCATCATTTGGTAGTTGCTAGCTTCCAGAAGAAGGTTGACACACGTGTTGTCTGTGCGCATAAAGTCCACAGTTTGAACGTGGTTTATGAGTTCCTGCGGGTTCATGAGAGGAAAACGAATATTCTTCATGAGCTTTGAGGCATAGTCCATACGGCCATCTTCATAGCGCAGCCAGCGACACGCAGACTTGAACAGGTCCAACTCAGTGCAATGTTTCAAGCTGTTACTGGACAGTACGAAAGCCAGACGCTCAAATGGTAGCTTGACAAACTCCCCTGTGCCCAACAAAGAGGGAAAGTTCTTCAGGATGAAGTTGTTGACGTATTTGTCTACCTCCGTTAGGTTGTAGGTGTTAGCGATACGCCCCACCTCTACGCAGTTGTCAAGAGAAACCTGCAAAAGAAAACCATGAAAAAAAATTATGTAGCTCGCAATTATGTGAAAAGTGTTGAGGCAAAAACTGGTCATTTAATAACAATACACACAGAGCTGGAGAGTAGGACACATAACTGAACTTAAAGCAACAGTTAAGAGTTTGACATTTCAAGCTATTGCTTTCAAACTGGTTTCAGTGGTTCTTGAGCCAGAAACATTACCATCTTCACATTCAATGTACCATTCTGCATCTTTCTGCTGATTAGAAACTGCACTCAACAGTTTTGAGTTCAGGTGGTAACGCTAGTGAGCAGTCTCCCTGCTAACTGGACTTTCAAGTAATAATATTTTTTGTCCAACAGGATCTTCTTGCTTTGTGGCTTTTTAGTATCAGTTGGCTCGTGTTAGCATTAGCTCATCGCCAGCAGCAGGGTTGTTTACAACCAGTGCAATTCCACTTTCAACCAATAGGAGGGAGATGCAGAAAACTAATTGTTACTTTAATAACTTATTTGAGTGAAAATCTGAAATCAAAAAAAGTTTGCATCTATCTAGAAACATTTTAATTGAGGGAATTCCTTTTTTTCTACTAGTTATAAAAACGGGATGCACACTGAAGAGAATGATTTTGTGCAAATGTGGGCTATACATCTGCCTTCTCACCCCAGAAATAAGAAAGACTTTGCAAAAGTCCAACACAGGAAGAATTTGTAAGAAACTGGCCGCCTCAAGTGTGTCTTGTAGATTCTCCATGTTGAGAGACAACTTTGCTGTGTAGATGAAGTCTATGATCTTCTTCAGGCCTATTCGGTTCACGCCGTGAAGCTTGATGCACATTAAATCCTGTTCCTTCATTCCGCCTGCAACCAAAAAGAATCAAATGTTGTAAATTATTTTAAATTAAAAACCGAATAATTCAACAATTGCAGATCAAAACACTCTAAAATGTAAAGGTAAACAGAGTAAGATAAACAACGCTCTTGCAGTACACACTTTTAGGACAAATCAACATAAATGCTAATTAAATTACCAACACTGGTTGGATGCAGAAACCTTGTTTAACTGAGATTTCTCAAGAACACATGACAGCAATATGACTGATGCTGTAGGAAAAAATGAATACATATTTAACTAATGAGTCCATTGGTTCTGTCCCTGACGAACAGATCTGCTTAGAGAGTGGATCTGCAAACCAACCTGTGAACATGGCTTTGAAGTAGTCAGAGGAGGAGGCCATCATTGCACGATGCACAGGGAAAGCTTCATCTCCATCACCAGCAACCAGCGTCACATCACACAGCAAACCCTCTATTCTTAACTGGTCAAATCCCTAAAATCAGGAAGAGAAGAAATGTGAAATTCATGTTTATACTCTCTGTGTTAGTGACCTAAATCATGTCCTGCCCCCAATGAGAAACACCTTAACACAATCAATAGCAGAATATGAAGACCTTGTGATCATAAAGCTCCGCAGGGAAATGATTGATATTGAACTCACTTATGCAAACCTGCTTTTTATCCATCTTTTGGCATCTTTTGCAGATAGTCTGCAAACAGGACAGGCTGATGCTGTAGCAACAGCTCAAACCGTCAGAACCAGAGGGAAGATTCTGCCTCAGAATTAACCACAAAACTAACAGAATGCACAGTCGGGATGTTGGATGAGATGGGCTAGAAAAATCATTATCATTCTCACTGTGCTGTGACAGCACAAGATTAATGAATGGCCACAAAAAAAAAAAAAAAAAAAAAAAAAAAAAAAAAAAAAAAAAACAGCCAACGGCTTCTCATTTTCACAGAAGGCTGGTGACCAAGGACAACCGCCGCTTTCTGCAGCAGACAGCAGAATGCCGGCACACACCTAACACATTTTAGAGCCTTTCTTATTTTACATCAATCTGTTGACACGCAGAAGAAGCCATCAAAGCTATGGATTATTAAAGAAAACAAATCTGTGCAACATAACAGGAAATCAGCCTGTAAGAAAGACAAGTAAAACACAGAGTCCACTCGTCTTTTTCAGAGTGGTGTTACTTGTCTGAACTCACCTGAAGAACCACAGAGCTGTGTGTATTGCTTGTGAAAAATCGAGTGTTTCCAGTTTTCGATGCCTGAAGATGAGCAGAGACGCCCATTTCACCGTAGCCCAAAGCCACTTTCATGTGAGCGTCGTCGTCCTCCACGAGCGATCTGATAGAAGAAAGAGACAAAAGTGGGTTTTGAATGAAATTATAAAAAGGTAGAACATAAGTTTGCTTCCTTCTTTTGAGCTTAGAGATACTTTTAAAGCAACACTTATGCAAAGACATTTTGGTGGCAGTAACAGTTGTAGCTAAACTTGAACACAAGAGGCAAAGAAAACCAAAACAATGGGGAAAGGTTGATGGCTTTTGGGCAATCAACAGAATTTTTTTATTTCTAAAAGCGTCTTGTTGGTTGAATACTTAATACTTGATTAAGGATCTAATCCAAAACTCAAATGTTGGTAACGACAGCTTTATAACAGGTAACGAGTTTAACAGGTTATAATAATAATATGGATAATTGGTATTTAATCCAGGTCAAGCTGTCATTGCCCACGTGAGCATTGAAGTCCCCCAGCAGGACAATGGAGTCCCCTGATGGAGCACTATCTAGCACTCGTCCCAGGGACTCCAAAAAGGGTGGGTACTTTGAACTGATATTTGGCCCATAAGCACAAACAACAGTCAGGACCCGTTCCCCGACCCGAAGGCGCAAGGAAGCTACCCTCTTGTCCCCCGGGGTAAACCCCAACACACAGGCAGAGAGTCTCGGGGCTAACAAAAAGCCAACCCCAGCCCTCCGCCTCTCACCCGGAGCAACTCCAGCAAAGTAGAGTGTCCAACCCCTCTCCAGGTCTCGGGTTCCAGAGCCAATGCAATGTGTCGAGGTGAGTCCGACTATATCTAGCCGGTACCGCTCAACCTCTGCCACAAGCTCCGGCTCCTTCCCCGCCAGCGAGGTGACGTTCCATGTCCCAAAAACTAGTTTTCTTGTCCGGGGATTGGACCGCCAAGGCTCCCGCCTTGGTCTGCCACCCGATTCGCATTGCACCGGACCCTTCATGTTCCTCCTGCGGGTGGTGGGTCCACAGTTGGACGAGCCCATGTATCCGGTTCGGGCTGGGCCCGGCCGGGCCCCATGGGCGAAAGCCCGGCCACCAGGCGCTCGCTCACGGGCCCCAACCCCAGGCCTGGCTCCAGGGTGGGACCCCGGTAACCCTCCGGGCCGGGTACTCCGACTCTTCGTTTTAACCGCCATGAAAGATCCTTCGAACCGTTCTTTGTCTCACCCTTCACCTAAGACCAATTTGTCATGGGAGACCCTACCAGGGGCACTAAGTGCCCCAGACAACATAGCTCCTAGGATCATTAGGGCACTCAAACTCCTCCACCACGATAAGGAACGGCCCACCTAATCTGAACTCGAGCGGTGTTTTGTTATTGGACTTCTGTGCAAGCCGCAGTTTGGCCATAACGAACACCATGTTCGAACATAAGGATGCCCACCGGTACACTTGGTACCAGGGCAGCCTAGGTCACAGGTCGATGATAGATTTTGTAGTCGTATCATCTGACCTGCGGCCGTATGTTTTGGACACCCGAGTGAAGAGAGGGGCGGAGCTGTCAACTGATCACCACCTGGTGGTGAGTTGGATCAGATGGCAAGGGAACATGCCGCGTAGACCTGGCAGACCCAAACGCATAGTGAGGGTCTGCTGGGAACGCCTGGCAGAAGAACCTGTCAAGAGGGTCTTCAACTCCCACCTCCGGCAGAGCTTTGACCACGTCCCGAGAGCAGTGGGGGACATTGAGTCCGAGTGGGCCTTGTTCCACTCTGCGATTGTTGAGGCGGCTGTTGCGAGCTGTGGTCGTAAGGTGGCCGGTGCCAGTCGTGGTGGCAACCCCCGTACCCGCTGGTGGACACCAGAGGTTCGGGGAGCCGTCAGGCTGAAGAAGGAGGCCTACAGGGCGTGGCTGGTCTGTGGGTCTCCGGAGGCAGCAGACAGGTACCGGATAGCCAAGCGGGGTGCAGCAGTGGCAGTTGCCGAGGCAAAATCTCGGGCGTGGGAGGAGTTTGGTGAGGCCATGGAGAAAGACTATCGATCGGCTCCAAAGAGGTTCTGGCAAACTGTCCGGCGCCTCAGGAGAGGAAGGCAGCAACTCGCTCACACTGTTTACAGTGGGGATGGGGAGCTGCTGACGTCAACTGAGGCTATAGTCGGACGGTGGAAGGAATACTTTGAGGAGCTCCTCAATCCCACCAATGCGCATTCCGAGGAGGAACCAGAGCTGGGAGGCCTGGGGATGGACTGTCCGATCTCGGGGGCAGAAGTTGCTGAGGTAGTCAAACAACTACACAGCGGCGGAGCCCCGGGGGCGGATGAGGTTCGTCCTGGGTATCTCAAGGCTATGGATGTTGTAGGGCTGTCATGGTTGACACGTCTCTACAACATTGCGTGGTCATCAGGGGCAGTTCCTAGGGAGTGGCAGACCGGGGTGGTGGTCCCCATCTTTAAGAAGGGTGACCTGAGGGTGTGTTCCAACTATAGGGGGATCACACTCCTCAGCCTCCCTGGAAAGGTCTACGCCAAGGTACTGGAGAGGAGGGTCCGATCGATAGTTGAATCTCAGATAGAGGAGGAGCAATGTGGTTTTCGTCCTGGCCGTGGAACTGTGGACCAGCTCTATACCCTTGCAAGGGTGATGGAGGGGGCATGGGAGTTTGCCCAACCAATCCACATGTGCTTTGTGGATTTGGAGAAGGCTTATGACCGTGTCCCCAGGGGCACCCTGTGGGGGACGCTCCAGGAGTATGGGGTGGGTGGCTTTCTGTTAAGGGCCATTCAGTCCCTTTACCAGAGGAGCGTGAGTTTGGTCCGCATAGTCGGTAGTAAGTCGGACCTGTTCCCAGTGAGGGTTGGACTCCGCCAGGGCTGCCCTTTGTCACCGGTTCTGTTCATCACTTTTATGGACAGAATTTCTAGACGCAGCCGTGGTGTGGAGTGTGTCGAGTTTGGTGGCAGGAGAATCTCGTCTCTGCTTTTTGCGGATGATGTGGTCCTCCTAGCTTCATCCAGCTCTGACCTTCAGCTCTTGCTGGGTAGGTTCGCGGCCGAATGTGAAGCGGCTGGGATGAGGATCAGCACCTCCAAATCTGAGACCATGGTTCTCGACCGGAAAAGGGTGGCTTGCCACCTCCGGGTCGGGGGAGAGGTCCTACCTCAAGTGGAGGAGTTTAAGTATCTCGGGGTCTTGTTCACGAGTGAGGGTAGGAGGGATCGGGAGATCGACAGGCGGATTGGTTCGGCGTCTGCAGTGATGCGGACGCTGAGCCGATCTGTCGTGGGGAAGAGGGAGCTGAGCCAGAAAGCCAGGCTCTCGATTTACCGGTCGATCTACGCCCCAATCCTCACCTATGGTCATGAGCTTTGGGTAATGACCGAAAGAACAAGATCGCGGATACAAGCGGCCGAAATGAGTTTCCTCCGTAGGGTGGCCGGGCTCAGCCTTAGAGATAGGGTGAGGAGCTCGGACATTCGGGAGGGACTCGGAGTAGAACCGCTGCTCCTCCGGATCGAAAGGAGCCAGTTGAGGTGGTTTGGGCATCTGGTCAGGATGCCTCCTGGACGCCTCCCCGGGGAGGTGTTTCGGGCATGTCCTGCCGGCAGAAGGCCCCCGGGTCGACCCAGGACACGTTGGAGAGGTTACATCTCCAATATGGTCCGGGAACGCCTTGGGGTCCTGCCGGAGGAGCTGGTGGACAAGGCCGGGGAGAGGACGGCCTGGAGCTCCCTAATTGGGATGCTGCCCCCGCGACCCGGACCCGGATAAGCGGAGGAAGACGAAGACGACGAAGACGAAGAGGTATTTAATCCAATCCACGTTCCAGTTTCTCAGTGGGTTATGACAACATGTTGAAGCTTAAATTTTGGGTTGGAAACTCCAGATTACAGGTACCAGGATTGACCCTGAAGCTCCCAGAAGAAACCTAGTGATTGTTTGGAGTCATTTTGGAAACTCCCTCATGAGTGCCACGGCCCAATGAGAAGGTGAAGTAGAAGTTAGTCAGAGGAGAGGCGAGCTGAAAACTGCTTACTCATTATTATTCATGACATTTGAACATCTCCACTCCGACTGGCCAGATCAATGCAACTCTACCACGGACTCTGTTTGCTTTGCAACACAGATTCGGCCATGTTGTGTACTTGCCAATTAGCTTCTACTAGCAGAGGTGCGTCCTGCTCTCTGCTGAACGCTAAACCAACAACAGCTTTCCTGGCAAGCCAAGATGGGCGAGTCCAGGAACGTTAAGTGCCAGTGTGACAGATCTGACTGGCTTTTTCTGACCAGATCATTCTCCTGTCCATTTTCTTTCAGCGGCTAATGCAGGAAACAGGAGTAGACAGCTTTCACTTTCAGCCTGCGTGTGGAACTCAGAGTGACCGGTTTCATTTCTTATTTCTGAAATACAAACAGTTTCTCAGTTAATTTATGTTAACCCTTACCCAACGTTTACATTTTCTAACGTTAATGTTATTTGTGTACAAAAAATGCTTTAATGTGAGGTAAGGGTTAAAAAAATTATTTTGGGCCAAAAAACTGATAAAAGACAGTTTAAAACGCGATTGAGGACCTCAAGGTAAGTATTTTATGTTGGAGCACAATTAAATCTAGTTTTATTGTTAGATGTAGAATAAATAATTATTTCATTTACACCAATAGTCACACTAAGCCTATTGATTCCCGGTATTCCATAGCCCTTTTTAGAAGACACGCCATGCCACAAAATCAGTGTACTGCTGCCACGGTGTGTCTTATGAATGCGCCGTGGTGGCATGGCGTTGCTGGAATTTTGCAGCATTTGTACTGCCGCACTTGGTAGTAATATTGGCGCAACGCCAGACATGTGAATGCATATTACACCTTGGCCCAACAGAGGGTGGCATCACGATCATGTGAGGAGTTACTGCAGAGCTCTGGCCGGTTATATTATTATAAATGAAAGTAACACGGGCTACAAGTTTCGCTTTGTAAACAGAACCAACTGAGATGATAAACTGGAGGACTGCAGCGCTCCAGGAGCTTATTTCCATTAGAGCTGGAGGTGAGATCACCAGAGACTGCACAGGGACTGTGGAGGACAGACACCTACAGGAGCGGCTTGTT